CTCTGAACAGAGTCCTAATTTATGGTGGACCCTTGGGTGAAGATAGTAAAGTGAAAATCGAAGGATATGTCGACTCTAATTATGCAGGTTGTATGTATTCCAGAAAATCTATTTCAGGATATGTGTTCACTATGTTTGGCACAACAATTAGTTGGAAAGCAATACTTCAGAAGGTTGTTGCCTTATCAACCACTAAAGCAGAATATATTGCTCTCACTGAAGCTGTGAAAGAAGCATTGTGGCTTGAAGGTTTTGCAAAGGAGCTGAAACTTTAAGGTCGAAGTATCACTGTTAAATGTGATAGTCAAAGTGCAATACACTTGTCGAAGAATTCAGCCTATCATGAGAGAACCAAACACATTGATGTGAGACTGTATTTCGTTAGAAGGGTGGGTAATCGAGCATGGAAAAGTCCAAGTGCCGAAGGTTTCAACATATCATAATATTGTTGATATGATCACTAAGACGTTGCCTAGTTGCAAGTTTTTCCACTGTATGTAGTTGATAAAGCTGCATGAAGAAAGCTAGTTTGTTTCTTGATGCTATAGAGTTTGTTCCAAGGAGGAGATTTGTGAGATATTGGATCAAACTCTAGTATTATCGATAGAGGTTTAGAATTCTGTCGAAGTCTACTCATATGCTGTTGTCAAAGACCTACATGTTGTAGTCGAAATGTGTTATAGTATGTAGTTGTCTAGTTGGGCCTTGTGTTAAAGATCCAATTTTTTAAGTTAGCTTGTAATGTATAATTGTTAAAAGGCTCATTAGTTTAGTATGTTAGGTTTTTTTTATAAATAGCATACTAGTCTCTCATCTTAAGTGTGACAAATCCTAATTAGGGTGAGAGGGTTATTTGTTATTCTTGAGTACTTATAATCTGATTCAAAGAGAAAGTAAAGAATAACAGTTATAATCAATCCTTGTTTTTCTTCTTGTTTTTCCATTAACCCTAACCCTTGTGTGTTTCTTGATCATAAAGAAACGTTTATACTTTGTTTCAAGGTATCGTTTTTCACAACACATCCAAATGGAAAATTTCTAGCAAGTCTCCCAATTCTGAAGGGTCAGAATAATGAGAGTTGGTGTAAACAAATGAAGTTTGTTTTGTGTTGTCAATATCTTTGGGATCTTATGAAGGTATAAGAAACACCACTCGCAGAAAACGTGTCCAATCAAGAAAAAGATTCATACAAAGAATTGAAGAAGAAAGATTATAAAGCTCTCTTTATATTCAGCAATGTGTTGATCCAGACAATTTCGAAAAGGTCAGTAATGTAGAATCAACGACCATATCATTATAATAATACAGTTGCAAGAATGAGGGTTATATCTTATTGTACGTATTCTTTTTAAAGAATTTTTTAGGGTGACTCTATTGGGACAAGACAATACCAATGACTATGGTGTTGGAATTACACTAAATCTATGGAGAATCTCGAAAACAAGTATGAGAAATTTAAAAATGGATTTTATCACACACTTACGAAAGTCCTTTAACCACACAACCATATGGGTTATTTTTTATCGTTAATTGTGTTCACTTTGATGCCTTACAAATAAAGTTTTCCGCTCCAACTCTGGCCATTCATTTTCAGGTGAAGTTTTGTGCTTGTATGGCATTTCAAATTCCATTGTCCCTAATAAGGACACACTCACTCTCTCTCTCTCTCTCTCTTAATGACACTAATTTCATTATTATTATTATTATTATTATTATTATTATTATTATTATTATTATTATTTTATTAATATTATCAATGTTATTATTGTTTTCTAAAATAAGTAACATTGTTGTTATCTTGTAAGAAGTATAACAATTCATATGTGGATATGATAATTACATTCGCCGCTAATGGGTAGAGCTATTAAAATGAGCTATTTGATCCTAAATGGTATGATCTTAATAAGTCTTGAACTTCTTAGGGTTGGGAAAAAATCTCTATTATAATATGGACTCAAAATCTACTACATGAGCCCGACCTTATACAGACTTCAAGCTACCCAACTCTAAACGAGCTATTTTATTAATTATTTTTTTATACAAAAATTAAAATAAAACCTTATAATATTTAAAACAAATATAATAAAAATTATATTATTTTTAATATAACATATTTTTAAGTACTATATTTTTTTATAAATACTATAACATGTTTTTAAATACAATACATGTCATAGTTTTATTATATAATACTCAAATATTTAAAATAAGAGAAACTAATATAATATGAGAAAATTGTGAAGTAAAACACAAAATAATTAAATATTAGTTTGATTATATTAATATACAACATTTAAAAGAGAAATATTAAATAGAATAGAGATAAAATTTAGTGAGGTGAAAAAAATAATGTGTTGTTTTAGAGTGAGATACTATAAATATTTATATAATTTTTTAAAACTTATAGTTATGAATGCCTAGAGGGCTATTCGTGGCACATACGTGTGAAGAAGATTTTCATCATTTATCTTAGTTTTATTGTGATGAAAAACAAAAATCTATCAAAGAAGAAAATGTTTGGAATGAAGAAACAAGAACGCATATGCTTATGGATATTTTGAAAGTAAAAGAAATTGATCTTGATGCTAAGGTATTCAATTGCAATTATTATGTATAAGCTTTAGATGCTCAAAAAATAATATTAATCTTCATATCTAAAGTTCTCAAATTTTCATGCATAAAAATCTTTGAAGCAAAGGCATAAAAAACATATTTTTAAAATGTTGTCAAATTTTTTTAAATCAGGTTCGTTGCACTTTTTATGTCAGATATGCCTAACCGACTTAAAAAAAACTATTGTTTAAAATTTGAATAACTGTTTGAAACTCAAAATCCATCCTTTACTTGTTAAGTCAGGTGTCCGTTTAAACGACTTAATAACTCTTGAACATAATTCGAATTATGTCTTTTCGTGAATCATTATCGTTCTAAACTATTGCAAACCTTCATGAAAATGTTTCAAACTTTTTCATCAATTCAAACAGTTTTTTTAGGACGTATTTAAGAAAAAATCTATTAGTTTTTAAATTACTTTTTTAATTATTAATTTTTCACATCAATTCAAACAATTTTCTAAGTGTTCATTCTTTTTAAAAAATGTTGAAACTTTGTGCATAACTTTAAAATCATTCAAAAAGTTTCATAATATATTCTGAGCAATTAAGGTTTATATATATTGTTAAATTGTATATTAAAAGGGAATAAGAATTATTTATTCTTGGAAATTATCCAAAAATTATCTTTTATTCAAAAGTATCATTTTGTTGTAACTTGATCACTAAGTTGTGGTGACAATTAATTGTCAAATAAAAAGTGGTGTGCTTTATAAGTGCATGTGATAATCATCATAGTGTTGGTGGTTATTGGAGAAAGGTCCTTCGAATTGATTTGATTCAAAGTCCACCATAATTGTTGGTGTATTTGTTAAATTAAAGAAGTGATATGTTTCTTTGTTGTTGTTAGAAGATTGTAGGAGAAGTCTTGATGTGAGACTTGTACAAAGATCTAACAATAGTGAAAATCTCTCACAAAGTGTAAGGGGATTAGATGTATCCTTGGTTATACATCATTGTGTTCATTTACTTTACCGCACTTTACTTTTTTATTTATCATTCGTTCATCGTTCACAATTCCGAAAAATTTCAAGAAACTAAAAAAGTATTATAAATCTCTAAGAACATATTTTAACCTAATTCACCCCCTCTTAGGTTGTACACTCAAATATTTACAATACAAACTTTATCTAATTGGTATCGGGCTTTTTAGGTCCAAGTTTAAGAAAACCAAAAAATATGGGTTCTAATTTTAAGGCCCAAACCCCGTGATTTTTCGGGCTTGTCGGACCGGTCCATATGGGCGGGTCCATTTTAACGACTCTATTAATAAGTTTTTGTTGACATAAATTACTACACATCATGACTCCTATTTTTAGTTCAACACCATCCATTCCACCGTCCCACCCTCACTCATCGGCTCTTTTCCTTTCTATTAGACTTTTCACGCATGGCCTAATTTTTGGCCCAATTACCACTTCCTTGGTCCAAAACCTTGAGAAAAATGGTTTATTTGGATCGAACATGAATAATAGTAAATAGGCTTGATCAAACTAATTATAAATAAGTCTATGTTTCAGAAGAATTTTATTCCTTAATAACTATATTTCCTTATTTTTCAATAAGTGTTTGAGAATGCAACTTGCCACCCCTTAACTTATACTTGACACCCCCCATATTTTCAAATTTTCAAAAATGTCTTTACAATTATTTACCAACCAAATTTTACTTTTCTTCCAAAATTTTCACTCTTACTAACATACTAAAAACAAAATTTTTAGTAGTACAATCGATATTTTCGATACACATTTTTTTTGCATTTATACCAAAAATTTCAAAATTTCAGGTAAAACATACCAGAAATTTCAAAACTTATGGTAAAATACATCAGAAATTTCAAAATTTATGGTAAAATATATCAAAAATTTCAAAATTTCAATTAAAAAATTTCAAAAATTTCAAAATTTCAGGTAAAGAAAATCGCAAATTTCAAAATTTCAAATAAAAATACTGGAAATTTCTAAAAATCTGGTATTTCTCTAGGAAATCTTAAACATATACTGGAAATTGCCAAAAAATTCGAGAAAAAACAAAAACTTTGGCAAATTTAAAAATTTCTGATAAAAACCTTTAAATTTCTAAAATTTCGAGAATTCATCCAAGGATATAATGGTAAAATTGCTTTAAATGGGGGGGGGGGGGATGCCAAGTTAAATCCTCTAAGTGTTTGTTTGAATTCCCTTATAAGACTCATGACTCATTAGTACTAAGGTCCATTGCGTTTGACTAAATATTTAAAGTGTATTAGTTAACCCTAGTCTCCTAGTAGAGATGAAATCCTTCATCAGGACATAATGTGCTTACAGCGCTTTAGAGCACAAGAATTGAAATTACATAATATACCTAATGTATCTTACAATCTGAATTATAACCAAAACTCAACACATCTAAAAGTTTACTGAGCCCTCATATGTTTGTCCAAATTGCCAATTGGAAGGAGCAAGAGAAATAAACTGCAAAGATTTTTTATCACTTGTAGTAACCCAAAATGTCAAGTCTTGTCCCACCAAATTAAGTCCAGTATGCCAAACTTGGCCCCAATTATGTATCATTTGAACCCAATCAGAATTACTACCTTTGATGGCCACACGTACAATATCACCAGCATTCGCAACATTGTAAATCAAAACCATCAAAAAGTAAGGGTTTCCTCTAAGCTCAAACCTAACACCACCACTTTTGACACATGGAACACGTCGATATTGAACTGGGACGATCCCTGATTCGTAAATGGCAATTGTTGTGTACATTTTCATGGTTAAGTCAAAGTGTTTTTGTGGAGGATTGCACCAATTTCCATCAGGTTTGGAGTAATTGGGGGGACAAAAATTTGTTGCAGTCACAGTGATTGAGGCCACGTCTGTTTTGCACCATTGAGGATCGTTGACACACTTGATCTCAAAACATGCACCACAAGTATAACCTTCGTTAAATAGTGTTGTGCTTAGTGCTGTGGTTTCAAGGCCATACCCTTGATCGAAGAGATTCCCATAACCACATGCCCCCTCTGCATATTATTATATACCAAAAACACATCAGTGGAATAATAAAATATTTGAACACAACTTTTTCTTTAGAAATCAATATTTTTATGTGCATGGTTTTAAATTGCGCCACACAACCGCAATTGTGGGTATAATATTATTTATATGATGGCCTCTTCAATTATATCAGACCAGAATCACAATGTGATCTAAAATCACATGAGCAACTGTATCAAGAACAATATTAAATCATTTCGACCATATTTTTTTTAAAATTAAATTTTAAGATCCCAAATCTCAACCATTGTCTAATTCAACAAAATATATATATATATATATATATATATATATATATATATATATATATATATATATATATATATATATATATATATATATATATATATATATATTTAACCATGTATTACAAGTGTCTCCAAATAAGTATTCATATGGCACCGACCGCAAAATGCAGCATAGCAACAACAACCGCAATTTAAATCTAAATATTTATGTGATCGAAATATATATATATATATATATATATATATATATATATATATATATATATATATATATATATATATATATATATATATATATATATATATATATATATATATATATATATATATATATATATATATATATATATATATATATATATATATATATATATATATATATATATATATATATATATATATATATATATATATATATATATATATAAATAAAACTTTAAAAATTGAAAGAATCAATTTACCGATAATAAGATAACTAATTAATCTTAATTATTTGATAAAATAAGATGATTCATATTCTATTTTTTAAAATTTCATTTTAAAGTATATAACATGAAATGTTTATATTTATTTCGTATTCACAATTGCACTATTGTTGAAAATCAAAATCGATATGTATGTATAATCAATCGATCTAAAAGTGAATCAAATAATTGAATAATCTTAACTATTTGACGAAGAATCACTTGTCACTACTATCCTAATCAAAAATATATATAATTTTAAATTACAGATGCAGTCAGAGAAAAAAAACGAGAATTCAATTTAGATTTATTTTGTATTTACAATCGCACTATTGTTGAGAATCTAAATCGATATGTATTTATAATCAATCGATCTAAAAGTGAATCAAATAATTAAATAATCTTAACTATTTGACGAAGAATCATTTGTCACTACTACGCTAATTAAAAATGTATATAATTTTAAATTGATACAGTCACAAATACAATTAATTATAATTAAAAAAATGAGAATTCAATTTAGGAGAACTTACGCATAGTTTCGCCACCATTTATGTCACCATAGAAGGTGGCATGTGCATCCTGCCATCTTGAGTCAATGGGTATGCGACCTATGACCTTTACAAAGAGAATTGTGAAAAGGGCTAAAATAACCAAAGAGTTAGACTTAGCCATGGTTGAAAGTATGAAGATAACATAATGAAGAATATTGATTTATAGGAACTAGTGTATAATTAATTTAGAATTAAAAGATAAATTAAAATCTCATCAAACTACACATTTCCTATGCATTCTCTTACAAGACTCTTTTTCCATTTTTTTCTTTTGTTTTCTATTTATAATTATTCTCAAAATTTTATCAAATTTATTATTACAGTTGTTTTTCTTAATACTCGTGAACTTTGTTGAACTGTATTATAATCAGTCAAAACTACACAATATTCTATTCAATAATAATAATAATAATAATAATAATAATAATAATAATAATAATAATAATAATAATAATAATAATAATAATAATAATAATAATAATAATAATAATAATATATTTAAGGTAATGCCATTTCTTTATTTTCCTATAAATCAATAATTTATTTTTTTATAAATTTTTTTAGGTATTTAAGGTAAAGCTAGTATGATTTGTTTTGATATATTAACCTTGCTTGACTTTAAATGTTTTAGTTTCGTTAGATGCATAACTTTGTTACATTAAAAGCTATTATTAAAACATCTCACCGACCAAACTGATTTTATATATATTCTCCTTCTAAAATTTGTTAACCAAAAAAAATAATGTAAATCTATCAAAACCTAGAATAATCTAATTTGTACGAATTTCACCGACATTGTTTCGAAGCATAGAATAATGCATAAAATATGTTGCCTAATAAGAATAATAGAGAAAAAAAATATCAATGATAGTGTAAAATATTTTATCCTGTCAATCAATCACCACTTTATATTTTGTCAAATTATTCTGATATTTTTAAGTTAGTTGTGTGATGACATGACTGATTGACAAATTTTTGTTGGGTGACAGTGTAAAATTACACTGTCAGTGCACAATCTTTAATCCAAATTTGTAATAATAATAGAAAAGAAATTAAAATTAACCCAGACAAAATGTAAAATAGGAAAAATAATGTTTTAAAATTTATATTTTATGTTATTTTTGTATGACTAATTCCCTACGATGCACTCAATTATTAATAAAAAATTGTGATTGTGTAAGGTAACGACGAGTTCTAGATACGACCCGAGAGATTCAAACCCTAACACAAAGATTCAAGAGTGTTATCCCAAATGACATAAGTGTGCGACTACAACAATCAAAACTCCACAATGTTAAACACACACAAACACAAAGAAAGTGGCAAAATCACTAAAACGACAATAACAATCCACCCCCTCTAGTATCTAGCCACTCTAGAGACCGCGATGGACTGCTCACAGGTCAACCTCAGACTAGATTTTCATCTGGGAAGAGAAGTATTACCGACCCTTGGTCGGGCATGATTTAGAGACGCCCAATAAACTTCGAGGAGAAACCTCATAAATTCATGCAAATTTCATAGTAATTTACTCTGGATCAAATACATATGCCCTAAGCAGATAAAAATAATTACACGATATCTATTTCATTTCACTCACGCTCTACATTGTAGGCGGATACAAAAAAAGGAAACATGGTTGTTAATCCCTAAGGGTGATGATCTTTCTATCTTTAAGTATTTTGTGTGGCCTTACTTGTTCCCTAGAAATACTAAAAGAAGATTGAAAGTGCTCTACTTGCTGCAAGTCATTCTCAAAGGATTCAAAGACGATCGTGATACTAGCAATAGATGATTCATTTAAGCTTTAATCCAGTAAGGCATTCTGAAGGCGCATGTTTTCAAGATCTCCTTCAACAGAAGAAAGGGACACTTATGTAGCTGATAAAGTAGCCTACACAGAAGTTAGAGTTTTATCCTTCCTTGATACACCCCTCACCAAAAGAGTTACCTGATCGACTAACAAGCCAAGGAGATTGAGGGCATGCAAGGCATCATTTATCCTTGTAAAGCAAACATAGGCTTTCTATATTTCTTGCAGGTACATTTCTCGTTGTTGTTTCTTCTTGCATCATTGTTAAGATAGGAAGGGATTATAACAACCGACACCAACAATGGTAAGAACAATAGAAGCATGTCAGGTATAATACGCCAGGTTTAACACCTCCTCTTAAAGGGCCTCACTAGACATGTTGGATAGATAAGAGCAATCTTCTTTTGAGGTAAATGCCTAATGTTCTTGTGGAGTACATGAACCTGATCTTGCCAACTTTACAGGAACAAGAAGATCCAATGCACGTAACGATTGTCGGTGATCATTTAGAACACCTTCGTCTGGCCCTGAGGAGAAAGGAACATTAACCGACCTCGAAGTGTTTAATGGTCCTGCAGCGGAAGAGGATGGTCAGATTTCCCGTCTCAATAGGTGAATTACTTCCTCATCCTTCATCGAGTCTGCAAGTAGTAAGTACCAAAGCAAGCGCATTAAAGATAACAAAATTGACAACATGGGGGCAAAATACATCTAAAACTCACAAAAAATGACCTTCATCTCCTCCTTGAAGTGGTCATCCATCAGTAATTAGGTTCCTGTAATCCACTTTTGCATTTCCATGAAGCCTCATCCTGAGGAGTGAAACCCCTAACATGACCCAACTATTTTATGAAACTAACCAGCCTTCTATTCAAATAAGGATCACCTGAGACAGATCGTTGTCCTTATAGACATACAATTCATTCCCCATCTAAAAATGACCTTAGTTCTAGTACTTGGGGAATGTTCCAATACACTTGCTTTCCACCTAGGCCCATATGGAACACACTGTTGCATGAGATTTTTAATGGTGAGGGACGACCAGGAAGAATTGATTTTGAAATGCTTCAGCCTCTCTGAAAATGTTCCAAGGTTATGAATAGCTTGCATCATATTAATCAAACCTCAGCCTTACACTTGGGCCATAAAACTAAGTTGTACTTTGAAACTTTGATATACATCCTACTCAAAGGGTTAGTTGCAAAGGGGTAACCGTCAAGTTATTCAAAAATTATATTTCAAAGTAGTCAAAGGGCAACCAAAAATTTGGGAACCAGAAGGTACATTCATATAAAGGGATGACACATTTTACATACTCGCTATAGATTCTTTTATCTTCATTAGGAGTCTATATGCCTCAATCCAAACATGGACCCATATCTATAAAGGCTTCATCAAGACCTCCTTTTTGAAGGAGACTCGATATCAAAATTTCCAGATGATGAAGTTCATAAATAAAATGGGATATGTAGGGGGAGTTACCCTAGTGAGGAAGCTGGTAAAAAATATCTAAAACATCTCATTGACATTTTGTTGATGGTTAAAGCCCGATCTCAGGAAGAAAGAATAACTTTTTATGTAAACTTTGAACTTCTTGAGTTTTATGATATCACTACCTTGGATGCCTATGATGTATATTTATTATTATTATTCATTTTATGCAGAGTGTATGCGTAATGAGAACAATTCTAGCTCATAAGGCGATAAGTATTACCTTCTAGAAATAATGGTGTCACAAAAAATCGAGTGCCCCGAGTCAAATTTCTTACCCCTTATTGACGGGATTTGGCTCCCACTCTACTGAACATCATTCACTTCATCCTTTAGAAGAGGACTATGTCTACCTGACTAACCTTTATGGGCCTGTTATGGATGAAGAAATGGGCAATCTAGCTAAGTATGATGAGCGCGCTTCGACTGCTTTGGTCCTTGGTGCAACCTATCACTGATAGGATTTTTGGTTTAAATGGCACCATGCTTTAAAGCAAAGGATGAGGGAAATCATATGTTGCCTGAATCTTCAACATAACAGGTACCTACGTGAAGCAAAGGAAGATTCTACCTTTCTTTCCAAGGTGAATAACATTTTGCTTCCTTTGAAGCTCCTTGGCCCTCTTTCTAACCAGACAGCTCAGCTGGTGAAGACTGTAGGAGATGCTCACAAGGAGTTAGAGATCTTTTTCTCTCATTTTGTTTTGTTATCCCATAATCTAGTTTATTGTACGAGTTCGACCCTTGAGGTGGGCTCGCAATCATTTGAAAATGATTTAGATTAAGTAGAGTATTTTCACCATCTTTTGATGCTTTCTAGGGAGAAAATATGGCTGTATCAAGTTGTCGTTGACGAGAAGGTCATTTCTCTGTAGAAGTAGGTTTTCGGAGCGCTAGAGCCTCCCCCAATTTTTTTATGGTACCTTAGCATAGGAAATTTATATATAATACTTATATATTAAATGCAATGTATTTAATACATGTTTAAGGTGTTTTTGTATTATCCTTAATGTATGAGGTATTCCCTTGAAGTTAATTAGTCGTCATTGTGACAATGAAAGAAAGGATACGAATGTATAACTTTTTAGTACATGTTCTGAGGTATCTGACGCGGTCCTGGATGCATAGCCCTAGATCGTTATGAACTTGCGAGGCCTCCCCTGAAGTTTATTGGATGTCACAAGGACCGTTCCCAGCCTAGGGTCGGTCCCCCTTCCCCTTGTCGGGTGAAAACTCGATCAGAGGTAGACGAGTGGCCAACTCACCATGACATACAAAACGACTAGCTGCCTTTCTTTAGTCGGACATGCAAAACATCTTTGTCAGCACCTCTAACATTATATGGGAAATTAATTGCTTTAGCCGGACGTAAAAAGTGTCTATGACAATACCCCTAACTTTATATAGGGAATTGATTGCTTTAGTCGCACGTACAAAGCATCTCCAACAACACCTCTGGCTTTATATGAGGAATTAATTGCTTTACCCGTACGTATAAAGCGTATCCGACAGCACCCCTGACTTTATGTTCGTCGGACATTAATGTCTTTGGTCGTGCCCCAGATTTTCTATTCCTACACATATTTTTAAAGAAAATAATGTCTTATAAAACATCGTTATATCTTACCACTTATTTATCCACTTCTTATGGCCTCTTTAGCCACTTTTTGGAGGGTGAATACCCATTATGTTCATATGTCTTGGTGATAGAAGTGATATTGAACTCCATGGTTATGCCTTCTCTCTAATATTTTTGGAGAGCTTGTTATATTTTTTTGCTCCTTCCAAATCAATATTGATGGTGGTCGGTTCCCTCT